AGGGATGTGGACAACATGGAGAGGGTCCAGAGGAGGGCCACTCGCATGATCAGGGGGCAGCAGGGCAGGCCCTATGAGGAGAGGCTACGGAACCTGAACCTGTTCAGCCTCCACAAGAGAAGGCTGAGCGGGGGATCTAGTGGCCGTTTACAAACCAGTCAGAGGGGACCAGCAGGCACTGGGGGAGTCCCTGTTCCCCCGAGCACTACCAGGAGTGACTAGAAAAAACAGACACAAGCTGACAGATTCAGACTAGACATCAGGAGGCACTATTTCGCTGTGAGGGCGGCTCGACTCTGGAACCAACTTCCAAGTGAAGTGGTGCTGGCTCCTACCTTGGGGGTCTTTAAGACAAGGCTAGACAATCACCTTGCTCAGGTCGTTTGACCCCAATACTCTTTCCTGCCATGGCAGGGGGTCAGACACGATGATCTGCTCAGGTCCCTTCTGACCCTACTAACTATGAAACAATGAAAACTATTTCTTACCCTCTCTAATTAGGACAGCAAGGTGACAAGACTATCTACACTTTGGTGACATACAGCTGGGTGGTGTTTGCATACTGGTATCATCTGATTACCAATAGCAACTTGCAATCTCCTGTGGAGGCCTCACACTTATAGTAAAAAAGAAAGGATCTAATTGTCATTTAAAAAGATACTAGATGTTTGTTTCTGGCTCCACCTGCCGATTTTGTGAGAGGAGAAGAAAGGTTAAAAAAATAAATCTAGTGCTTCCAGAAATGCATGCAGTGTTTCACATTAAATTTCATATGTTAAAGGGTTCAGCTGTACAAAATGAAATATTTTCCTACATGATTTGTAACTCAAGGGGTGCATGATTGCTGTGGCAAAAATACATGCAGTGGCACATGCAGGGGTGTGTGATTGCTGTGGCAAAAATAGCAGTGGCACAAATTTGCACCACCGATTTTGCCTCTGTGCACGTCCCTGCATGTGGGGTTGGTGTAGGGCAAATTGCCTCAGGTGGAGTAGGGTAGGAGCCACCTGTGCTGACCCCAGCAGCCTTACCTGAGGTCCTGGGGGCCTTCTGGGGTAGCAGCAGCAGTGATCTGGCCACTGAGATCCTGGCAGGCAGTCAGACTGAGGTTCTGGCTGACCAGGCTACCTTTCTGGTGGCACACTTGCGCGGCATATGCACCCATTTGCCGCATTGCTAAATAGCAGTGTGGCCATTTTTTTTGACACTGGAAGATCTGGTCTGTAGTAGCTGTGTGCACCACCAGAAAGGGAGCCTGGCTGGCCAGAGCCACAGACTGACTGCCAGCCAGGCTCCGAGAGGCCAGATTACTACCATTGTTGCCCTGGGAGGTCCCCAGGACCTCCCCTACCCAACCTGGGACAATTTGCCCCACACCAACCCCATGTGCAGGGGTATCTGCAGTACAGTGGCAAAAAGCAGTGGCACAAATTTTTGCTGGTACTATTTTTGCTTTGGCAACTGTGCACCCCTGCATCTGGGGAAGTGCCCAAAGTGACAAGGAGAACAAGTAGGACTGAGCAAAGCCACTTCCGCTGTCGCGCCTGAATGATGGGAGGGAAGGGTCAACAGGATGAAAGATAGAAAATAAATTAGATTTGATCTGTTCTTTCAATGTCAAATGTCATTATAATCAGAGAACAACATTTGGGGATGATGCCTAATCCCTTAAATATAAAATATCCCTAAACTTTCATATTCAAATTGGATTTTGTTGTGAAAAAGAACTGAAAAATGATTGAATCTCCTTTAATGAGAGTTGCTGCTCTTGTCTACCTCCTTGTTAAAACTTGTGCATGTGATTCCTCTTCTTGGTGGAAGAAGCTGCCATGTATCTTTGGGTAGACCTTAAAATACTGCTTATTAATCACAGCTCAGCTTCTCTGGAAGGTTTTTCCTCATAGCCAAAATGGCCTCCATTGTTTCAAAGCAGCTAAAGCCAAAGCTCCCTCAATTAAGATGGTTGCCCATTTCCATTTGCTTTTTTTATAAGAGGTCTGGGTGAGAATGGCTGGACAATCCAAAGCATGGAGAGAAAGGGTGGAGTGGGGAATGCTATCTGTTTTGGCATGTGGTGGGGAATGCCAGTGGCACGAGGCACAAATATACAGTGCTACCTGAATAAGAGGCATAGCAAGAGCCCAGGGAAAAGGATAAAAACTTAAACATGGTTCCCCTTTCTCAACAGGTCTGGTGAGCTCCCTCGAAGTGTCAGTAAGTTCTGGGAGTATCCAGGTTGCTCGAGGGCAGACAGTAATCCTGCCCTGCACCTTTACCACTAGCGCTGCCCTCACAAACCTGAATGTCATCTGGATGGTGATCCCACTCTCCAACGCCAACCAGCCTGAGCAGGTATCAGTGCTTCTTGGAATTCACAGGTGTTATGTGTGTGTCTCCTTTCCCATGCCCCATCCTCAGAATGGTATTTGAACACATTTTCCTGCAGTAGCTGGACTTTTTGAGCAGGGATGTCACCAACTTGGGACATGGTTTAGAGCAATTCCTGTAACTAAGCAGTCTTGCTCTGGAAGGGTCAGCAGTAGAAGATAAGGCCAGGTCTGAGGTTCATGGCCAGAATTGATCATGCCTTCTTTGTAGGCCCATCAACTTCTATTGCCTTTTGTAACTGATACTGCCTCAGTCCTTGAACATCTTCCTGTGCCCCAGCATGTCTTCTCCTGCTGCTGTATGTACGCTGGGTACCTTACCCCTACTGTGTGTTTATCATTCTCTCTCTGCTATCACCATTGGTAAGCATGGTACAACCTGTGTCCTCAGCTGCCTTGGTTGGACTTACGCACTGGTCTGGTATAGTGTCAGCTGAGCTGGTTGGTTACTGCACAAGATATGATGGGACATGGGGAGGCCTTTGGGCCCTGTAGCAAGTCCTGACCCCCAAAGACAGCCGTAATGTCCCCTGGTGGCCAGACTGTCCCTGCTTTACCTCTCTTGTTTGTATTGCTTGCCATGCCTTGATAGATATTCTCATCCTTTAGGGAGGCTGCTCTCAGGGCCCTGAAGTGAGCCCCAGTCCACCTCTTTCTCTGCTTCTCATGCCTGGCTGGCACCAGCCTTGTCCTCAGGTACTAACCTGCCTTCAGGGCATTGATCATAGCTTCCAGCCTCCCCCAAAGCTATGCCCATGCCTCACGGGTGTTACTTTCAAACCAAGTACCAGCCTGCACAGGCTTCAGCCCTCTTGGCTTTGGCCCAATAGTTTCTCTACCTGTGGACTCCTAAGCATAGGTCCACTTGCTCTGACCTGGTTTCTGAGTCCCAGACTCTTCTTAATTGGGCCTTACTCCCAAGGTGGAGACTCTGGCCCTCTTGGCTTTCATCTACCCACTGTCTCTTCCTTGGGGCTCAGATTCTGGCCCTCTTGATGTTAACCCACCCCTGTCTCCTTCTCTCTGGGCTCAGAACCCATAGTGCCTCCCAGGCACCCCTGTGCAGCCTTCAGTCCTTCCCTACAGCCATAATCCAGTCCTCTGGTCTAAACTACAACACAAATTCAAGCAACCATTTCCAGATAAAAGACTCAAAGACCCCTCTGGGTCACCATGCTGCTGCAGAAGTGTCTTTCTTGCTCACTGCCTCTCTTAGCCCTGGGAATACCTGACCTGGCCTGCAGCTCCCCCTCCTCACCAGCCTGAACTGGCAGAAACAATTTCCCACATAGAGTTCAGGGCTACACTGCCCCTGTGCCTCAGGAACCTAATCTTATATCCCCTGAGATCCTCCCCTTCCAGCCAGGTGCTCTCTTGTCTGACCATAGGTGTGTCCTCTCATCCTCCAGAGCAGTCTACTGCTGTTTCTCTGGCTAAACTGCATTTATCCCCTTGCTGCCTACCCAGGGATCTTCCCTACTGTCTTATTGTTTGATAGCTAGCCATACAGTAAGCCTGTGCAGGCTATAGGCCCCTGGCTGCCTACTCTCCTGTAGCTAGCCCATGTTCAGCTGCCTGCAAACCTTTTTGCTGCAATCTCTCTCAAGTAACAGGAGCATCTGGCCCCCTCTTACAGGCCCTGTTTTGAGTACTCTGTGGTGTGGGATGGTGGGTGGGGGGGATGCTGAGAAGAATTTGGAGGATCTGGAAGCAGCCACAAGCTGAGATAGAAAGGATGATTAGCCCCTTAATATTAGGGTTTTTGCATCATTTGCATTCTGCAGAATACTTCCTGAAAGATGAACTTTCTCATGGACCCTTTCTGTCTCCTAACACCCCACTACTTGTTGGTCAGGATATTTCCTAGCAGTGAGCATCAGGAAGGCCTTGGCGTAAACACAGTGGCCCACAAAGCATCCTTGGAGAACCTTTGGACTGTATTTTCCATTTGTACTGGTAGGGAGTACAAAAAACATGATATTGATTGGAAAGAGGCCCCATCCCAAATATTTTTATCACAGGGCTGTCGTTTCGTTGAGAAAACTCTGCTATCAGGATACATCTGCTTGGGGTTAGTGTAAAAGTTTTATGTGGGTCCCTTAGGAATTGGTCCTTTCTGCATTGTCTCCTTTTGTCACACGTGCTTGGTTTGCTTCTGAATATCAGAGATTCCTTGCAGAGAAATGTCCAATCTTTCTTTCTTTTTTAGGTTATTCTCTACCAGGGCGGACAGATCTTTGGTGGTGCACCCCAGTTCTTTGGGCGAGTGGGATTTGCAGTGACAATGCCAACCACTAGTGCCTCCATCTTCATCAACAACACCCAGCTTTCAGACACTGGCACCTACCAGTGCTTGGTCAACAACCTTCCAGACCGAGGCGGCAGGAACATTGGAGTGATTGGACTCACTGTCTTGGGTGTGTGCATTGGGAATGGGAGGGAATGTGGGACTGCTCTCTTTGGGGTGGGACATTTTAAAGAGATGTAGTTGCATACATGTTGGAGAGCAAGAAGACCTGGGAGTATGTTGTAGTTCAAGGGAAACACAGGGAGGGAAGTTGTGAGGTAGCGCTGGTGGGCATCAGGTGGGTATTCTAGAGACATGGGAAGGTATCTTCTGAGTGTGTGAATGTGAAAGAGAAAGGGCTCTTAAGGCAGGAAGGTGAGGCAGTTTGAGGACTGTGTTATGACTGAAACAAATATAGGCATTTTGCAGGGCAGGGAGAGGGGTTGTTGTATGAAAGGGGCCACAGGGGTCCCCTATGTAGTATCCAGGAGAATGAAATGGACCTTTGGCCTTTGATTCTGGTTTCCTTTCCCCAACAGTCTCCAGTTTGGGACATTTTATAGGAAGCAATAGATTACCCAACAGTATCCTGTACTGTTCCCTCAGGAGAAATGTTTTTACCTGTCATCTGGCTAGAGCCAATTTACACCATTGAGCTTCTGGACATAATGATAATCCTCACTATGCTTATTCCAGCTAGGCAGCTGCAGGGGTTTATTTTCCCAGGGAACATCCAATGCAGAGTAGCTGTGTGAAGATCAGCAGTGTAGGACTTCCTTTTTGAATGCCAAAATGGGGCCTTCTTTGTCTGTTTTTTTCCTTTCAAACTCCTTTCCCATTCCTGGTCTGCCCTTCCACTTGCCTACAGCTGATGGCCACATCAGGGGTCTCACCCTCCCTAGAACAGGCTCATATCCACAGGGGCTGGGCATGTACAAAGAAACCTCCCCTTCTGTTGGCTGCACTTCCTGATGTGCTATTACTTTTCCCTCTTCTCTCATTGTAGTTCCTCCTTCTGCCCCGCTCTGCAGAATTCAGGGCTCCCTGGACGTCGGCAGTGATATCACCCTGACTTGCAGCTCAGAAGAAGGCATCCCCCGGCCAACATACCTCTGGGAGAAGTTGAACAACATTCCCAAGCTGCCTCCGACAGCCACACAAGGTGCTTACTCTGCTGTTTATCCTCCTTTTCCCAAAGGCAGCTGTTTTGATTTTCCTTTGAGATTCCAGCAATGATGCTACTTTTTGAGTTAGCCTTGAGTCATCACTACAGTCAGTCATTTCTAATGGCAGTACCCTGTGGCGGAAAATGCCCCTAATTGGTTGGATGCCCCTAGTAGCCATGCTCATTGCAATGTTTCTTGATAGAAAGCATTCCTCATGGCCTGCAAGTGCTTGAGGAGTATTATAATCCTCCTGAAATATTCACAGGTGACTCCTGATTTTGGCTGGCTTACAAATAAATATGCATTTTAAAACACACCAGAAAAGCTCCAAAAATAGAGAGCACCTGAAAACAAAGGTGGGGTCAGCCAAAGAACCCCACAACCATTCTGCTTGAGGACAAAACACGGTGCCAGATTTGAAGCTGATAGATTTTATGCTGTGGGAGGAGCCATGTTCTAGATGTGAAGTAAAACCAAGAAAGGCTCTGACTACATATGGAAGATCCCACCTTCCCATGGGGAATATTTTGGAGTTAGTCTTGATGGGGTGGCCACATGGTGACTCACTGATATTTATTCTTGTCTTCTAAATTATCCATGTTTTAACTGGCTAGGGGATTCTAAATCTTTATATAAATCAGGAGGAACAAACACTGGTAGAGATGTTTGGGGAGCACAGGGCTGGAATAGCAGAGGGTGCTGCAGGGCAGGAGTGAGTTTTATAGGTGGAGCTGTATGCAGAATGCTGCACACTCTTTGCCTGCACTTTGCCTGGCTTGCTTCTTTTGCACAGTGCGATCAGCCCCAAGCTTTCATTCACAGAAATTCATCTATAAAAAAAGGAAACATCTACTGTAAGCTCCTTAAGACCTAATCTTGTGTGTGTGAGAGAGATTCTTCCCATCTCAAGGTTATCCCCTAATTTATTATCTCCTAAGAACCTCACACTACACATTTCTGTTCACTGGATTTGCCTTTTTGAGGTTTTCTGGGGTGGATTAAACTTATTTTCCCTTTGTCTGTCTAGACCAAGTTCAGGGCACAGTCACCCTCCGAAATATCAGCACTGTCTCATCAGGTCTTTACCAGTGCGTGGCTTCTAATGCCATTGGAACCAGCACCTGCCTTCTAGACCTGCAGGTCATTGCCCGTAAGTACATAATAAAGGGAGGTGTGGCCATGTGACTGCACTCTGCTACAACAAGTTTGATTACAACTTCTGTAATCAAAGACCTCCTGAATTACTGTGAGCCTCTGTATCCTGAGAGCCTTGTGCCCAGGACTGAGGATCCCGATGCTTCTGGGCCACCCTCCTCATTGGTAGCTTCAGATGCTTATATACAGTTGTACCCTAATCCTGATTTCTATCCTCTCTGTTTGCCATCCCCTGAAGCCCATCCCCGGAGTATGGGCCTAATAGCTGGAGCTGTTGCCGCAGGAGCAGTGGTCCTCATGATCTGTATTGTCTTGGTGGCTGTGGCACTGTTTTACTGGAAGAACAAACACAAGGAGGAAGAAGAGGAAGAGATTCCCAATGAAATAAGGTGGGGCTCAGGCTGTCAGCTTCCCCCCTGCTAATGGTCATTCTGGTCACTGAGATTGCTTAGAGAGCCTGAGTCAAAGTCGTTATGTCCAGAAAATGGAGGCTGATGATGGAAGGGTGGTGAAGGAGTTTTGCAGGGGTGGTGGAAGACCTTTATGTGCTCCTTAGCAAGGGGGCATGGGTTGGTTGTAGGCAGCTGTTGCTACTTGGGAAAGCCTTCAAAGCTGAAGGGATGAATATAGATCTAAAATGAAAGAGGCATTAATGTAGTCCATGGAAACAAGCAGCAATGATCACAGACTTCCGGGGAGAGACATGGTTCAGTGTTGTAGCTCTGGCCCTATTTTGCCTTCTCTATGAACATGTCAGTGATGTCCAGAGGGTTGGCAGATGAGATAGTTAGCATGCACTAAGGTAAGTGTTAGGGGGGGAGAGGGATGTGAATGGGCTAGGCTGGTGCCACTGCACACCTGTAACCACTAAAGCCACCCCATGCTATGCGGAGAGAGAAAAGGGGCGTCAGGGTAAAGCACAGTTTTCAGACACAGCCCCACTTTCCTTCTCTCTCTGTCTCTTTAGGGAGGATGACCTGCCACCCAAATGTTCTTCAACCACAAAAGCGTTCCATGCTGATGCATCCTCTTCAGAGAATGACACCCTCACCTCATCCAACACCTACAACAGCCGATACTGGAATGATCCAAAAGCCAACCATGCCACGGACTCCTTCACCCGATTCAGCAACAACAACGATGCGCGCCAGTCCTTCTCCCGTTCTGGAAGCACCAATGTCCGCCCTGTCTATGCCAATGGAGGTCACCCCTCTCCAGCTCCAACCAAGACACTGGTGGTGACAGCCAACACGGCACCATCCCCACAAGAAGTGGCCAGGAGCAATGGCTCAGTCAGTAGGAAGCAGAGGCCTCAGCATACGCACTCTTATGCCGTGAGCCAGGCAACACTAGCGCGAATAGGGGCTGTGCCAGTCATGGTACCGGCCCAGAGCCGGGCAGGCTCCCTGGTGTAGGATGTGAGGGTGGGTGTCAGGAAAGCAAGAAACTACTGTATCAGGTGGGGCCAAGATCTGGCCAAGAGACCCTCCTCCTCCCTGAAATGCAATGAAGGGGGAAGCTCACCTCTCCCTGGTAGCCTCCCCTCTGCCCACTAGACTGTGTAACTTGTCAGTGTGATGGCCCCTTCCTCGCCACTCTGCCCTGGGGACTTCAGGATGCTCCTCCATGCTGGTGGATCTCACAGATGTGCCAAGGCCATGGGGAGGGCCCCATGGGGTGTCAGCACAGTCACCCGGATTGCCAGGCCTGCATTGCAATGCACTTTGGTCTCTAATCTCTGCCCGATGTGGGGTTCAGGAGGGTTTATTTTTTTGCTGTTTTGCTATTTTATTTTCAAGAGGATGACAGGCTAGGCAGGGGTCTATGAGGGGAGCAAGGGAAGGCAGGGGCTTCAGATGGAGGACACATCAGCCCTGGACGGCATGCCCTCACCCCTGCCATCAGCCTCAGGGGAGATGGTGGAACCAGGGTGACGACTAAAGAGAACATGGGCCATAACAGATCAATTGTGAAAAGGACAAGGCAGAGACAGAACCACCCACCAGGCCAAGGGGGCAGTGCCAGGGAATGGCCTTGGAAGTCTTTTTTAATGAATTTATCTCCCTTTCCTCCACCACACCCTGGGGGGCGCTGTTTCCCCCATTCTCCCCACCTGCCCACCCTCCTGCCAAGGCAGAACAGGGGGAAAAAGCTGGGGAAAGCCCCACCAGGAGTTACCACCAGCCGGCAGGCACTCTGTGTGTTCCCCCAACATATCCTCACTCCCTCAGCCCCCCAGCCCCCCAGCCAGCAGCCTTGCCCCACAACCCCCAAGCCCAA